GAGAGAGAGAGAGAGAGAGAGAGAGAGAGAGAGAGAGAGAGAGAGAGAGAGAGAGGCACCTGTGCCACTCCGGCCAATCACAGCGCGATAATCCACTTAGCGCCCCGCTGCTCGCACGGGAGAGGAAGGCACGCTGGAGGTACACTGCTGATGGAATGTGAAAACTCGATATGGGCTACGGTGTGCGGAGTGAAAGAAAATAAAATGATGTACAGCAGAGTGTTAATAAAAGCTTTCTCAGCATTTTCTCGACTGAAGCAAAACCCCTGTGCGATACTGTGCCGCCGTAAACTGCGTGTGAGGTGGTTGCCTAACTCGACTCGCCCGGCGGCGCCGTGCGGTGCCGTTGCTGGTCTGCTTGCTTTCTGCGAAGTCCGCTAGAGTTGCCCAAGACTGTCTCCACCAAAGGTGACAGGCTTCCGCTCTTTTCCCCTCTGGCCAGTGCCACACGTGTGCTTGTCTGTGGCGGTGCAGGCCTCACGGTGCCAAACGCCACTGCTGCGCTCGCTGCGCTCCAGACGCGGCGGGCGGCTCGTTTTAGCCCCCTCGCGGAAAACGCCGTTATAACACCATTGGGGGAGAGTTCACATTTATAACGGAGACTCTGAAGCAGGAAAGAAGCGGCAGATCATTGCCACATGCACGACGGCGCTCATCCTTTCCGCGCACTTCCCCAACCCACACACCCGAGCGGAATGGGCGAGCCACAAGAAAAGTGCTTGGCGCCGGATTCGAATTCAACAGCGCACTCATCACATCACTTCCGAGAGCGCGGGGGGGGGGGGGGGTGCAGCGCGAGTGACGCGGGCAGAACTGCTGGTAATACGGCATTTAGGACATCGAACCGCCGCGGACACAGCGAACTGCTCCATCATCACATGGCAGCAGGCGAGCCGGGCGGTGCACGGGCAGCAGCCCCATGCACGCCGCGCTGAGCGCCGAACAAAGGAGAATTAGCATTGCCCAGCAGCGCGCGACGGAGAGAGAGAGAGGGAGAGAGGACGGAGGGGGGGGGGGGGGGCTAAAATTACTCGGTGGCCGCTAGCTGAGCGGTGGCACATTCAATCTGCCGTCATTGGTCCGGCCGCACAGTGGTGGTCGTGGTCGAGGTGTGCCGTGCCGATGTCCGTTTTACTCTGTGGTGACGGTGACAGGGTATAGCAGGATGCTCAGGGTCCTTTTTAGCTCCTCCTGATGTTGGACAGTGGCCGTTCGTGACCTTTAGGGAAGGGGGAGGGTGGAAAATTATCAGAACCATGATTGGAGTCCATTAGCACCCCCATCAAATTTTTACAAAAATATCGTGAGTTCTCTATGGCCTCCAATGATGTTCCTGATACTTTGGGCACCCCATTTCGTCTATCCCCCATTGAAAGTGACGTAGTGTAGTTTGGGAACGAATTATTCGCTTCGTTTTCTAGTTCGCCAGCTGGCTGCGGGCGCATCGGGGGCTACTGGACAGTGGCTGCCGGGCTGCCGTCAGTCGGGGGCGGCCGGGGCGTTCGCCTCCGCGCATGCGTGAAAACTGCTTCACACGCCCTAATTAGAACGTGACCCGCCCGAGGCGTTCCGAAGGGGCGCAGCGGGCGCAGCACATCCGTCTGTAATTAGCGTTACGCATTATGCAAATGCGCTGTCACGTCCAGTTACTGTCACGCCAACGCCGGTGGGTCGAGCAGAAGACAGCGATAGACGCGCCCCCTGGCGGCCCGAGCGTTAAACGGGCGTGCGTGCGCGGAGTGCCCTCCGCACCCCTTCCCCCTCCGCACTCCGCACCGGTACGGGGCGATTGATCCATACATTCGGAGTCGACTTCAATTCGGTAAAATTGCGCGTGTTTTGCTTTCTCTATCTTATTTGCACTAGTCGCAATAATTGTGCTCATTCAAACTAATCGTCTGTGCGTTGCTATCAGCGCCTTGCGCCCGCGACCTGGGCAACCCTTCCACCACACTCTACAACCCGACCGGCGGCGGCCGTGACGTCACCGCGGTTTGCCGGAACCCGGCTGGAAGCAAGCCTCGGCTCGGCTCGATCTGGCCCCAGCTCCGCTCGGGTCCGAAAGCGGCAGTCAGCTGTGAGCCGCCGAGGTCACGACGTCGAGGTCTGAGGTGTTCGTTGATGTAACCTCAACGTTAACCATGTGCTCTGAACAGGCGCCCGCACCAAGTGTGTACTGCTCAGCTAAGTTGGGCCAATCATGTTAGGCTAAACGCTACCAAAGCTTTGCCTGGCCCTCCAGCAGCAGACCACCTCGAACAAGCAACCGATCCCCTCTGCCTTCAAGTCCATAGAGACAACATGACTCATCATCACCACCAACACCAACAATTTGGAGATTGTGAGCGGTGAGTGTGGCGCGCGCATCTGCTAAATCCCTGTTTGGCTCCAGTATACGTCTCGCCTTATCCGCTTCGCCCATAACCAAGTCACCCAATGACAGTTGCTCCGAGACATTTTAACCTATGCACTTCAGCAAAAAATAGTTAGGCCGCAAAATATTAGTTCCAAGACAATTTGATCCACAATGCACCGCTATTCTCCTCATTAATTTTTGTGCCCTCTCCCCTTTAAAGAGACGGCTCTAATTATTGTGTGCCTTGTTAGATTGACATAACATCATTTTGGCATAAGAGTTATGTGCACCATCGTGCAAATGTAATTGTAAAATAAATTGTCCTATTTCGATTACATTTTTCAATCTAACTACAAGGTGTTGTGGAAGAAATACAAAGAAAAGCAATGAATTGAATGCATTTATTCAACGCCAAGTCTTTATAAAATAAATCTTTTCAAAGCACTAAAAAGAATTAACACATACATACAGGTCTATGCTATCAATAGAAACTATGTGGTGTGCAGCTGCTATACTTTTCTGAAGTGTCGAAAGCTTAAACACCAATTGACGTTTAACCTAGATCTTAAACATCAATTGACATGCAAAATGACAAAAAATGTTTTACCAGTGTAGAATTATCATCAACAGAGTTAAAGGACTTAACATAAACAAAAAATTGGAAGTAAATTTTTAACCATTTGTTTTTTGGACTTCATATTTTTGGACCTAAAAAAAAGGATTGGGTGAAACGTACCGCTTGGTCAAAGGTCTGTGGGTGAGGTGCAGTGAGTGAAATGTCTGGGCCAATT